CTATCACAAAGCAAAAAAAGTTGCGCACAAGTTATTGGAGAAAATTGTGTTTTTCTCAATATTCGTTGACTACAAAAGATTGCCATTTTTTAACAGAATGGCGAGAGTTGGATGATCCTGGCTTTGCCAAACGGCAGGTGACCAAGGTCACGTACTATGCTGGTGACCTTGACACTTCAGGTGGGCCAATCAAATGCATGCCATGAGGCAGATTCAACTGTACAGTAGTGTTTTAGATGGCTGTCTAAGCTGGTGGAAAATTCCTTCTTAATCCCTTTGTAGTAATAGTTCTCTCCTGTAGAGGCTGAAGACTAACCTTTCATTTTCCTTGAAACCTGAATTAATGAGATTGCAGCTGTCTTTTTCTGTGGATTCTAGATAACATTCTTTGATTAGTTGTTTTTCTTTCCACTAGTTTGTATTATTTTGTTTCCTTTATTGATAGTTATTATTTATCTCTCTAAAGATAATCTCAGAAATGTGGCTGATACTTTATTAACTACTGATTGACAGTGGCGATCTGTTAAACTAAGATAACTCTATTTATCTAAATGAAATCTATTAACCCAAATTAAACATCTGGGGAAAATTGCTTGGCCCTTATTCATATTTCGCAAATAACATAATTTTTTTTGAGGTACCTCAGCTGTAATGCAACCATCTCTGATGACACCTAACAAAATACTAATACTAAAATGGTAATGGATGCAACACATAGGCTACAAATAGTTTTTTTCTTAAACAATTTCTATAATTTTTTATGGCAAGTAATTTTCTTTTTTTTAATCACTTTTATAAATTATCAAATTTGGCATCTCTTAAAAATAAGTTTAGGGTCTTTTAGACTGTCTTTGCCCATTAAAATCTTATTAGGTTTTCCATTTTAGTATTTTTGAATTGCATAGATTGCATGCGGTTTTAATTTTTATATATTTTCTTCACTTGTGTTGATAAAGGTTGAAAAGTCTTGTGCACAACCACTCGATATTAATAGTATGCATCTTAGTGTAACATGACATCTTTATTTTACATAACAGCTTTACTAGCTCTCTTCATTAACTATCTGGGCTAAGACTTAAAAAATAGAATGCTATATGAGTAAGATGTGACTTCAGAATTATTGCAATTTTAATTGTAGTTTATTCTTGTAAGTTTAAATTAAAACAAAAATATTACAACAAATGAATCAAATTTCTTTTTCTTTCAGAACATTTACTGATCTGACTTTTATAATTTATTTTGAAGTTGCAGCTCAAAGAATTTAATAAAGATGTTTTTACTATACTCTTATATTTGTACAATGAATTGCTGATCTTAAATCTGTAGATTAAAATCTTTTTTTAATTAGGCTCACATGTATTTACACCTTATATTGGTGAGGGTTACTGCTTCATAATTGTATTTTAGATAAGTCACATGATTGCAGTTGGTGCCAGCTCTAGGATGTCCACAGTGATGCTAATCTACTTATGACTTGGCCTTTTATTTTAACAGTTGTTGAGGCCACATCTCATGTAGCTTACAAAGAAGTCAGTTTATTTATTTTTCTAAAAGCGAGCCACCATAGCAACTGGATCATGAAATGTTAAAGTATATTCCAAGACTTTGCAGACTGTAGTCATTGATTAATTTTTTTCTTGTTTTTCTTTGTTAATAGCCAGCCGAGGAGCTTATAAGCCAGAAGGTACTGGTTAAAAATCTCACCCTATTTCTGTGTATTTTTTAATGTTTTTATCTAGTCTGTATTTCCATGTATGAATATTGATGCTGAAAATTATCAGATCATTGTTGTAAACCATTATTTTGACCACATTATTATCTGTGTTTTCACATTTCAGAAATATGGATGTTCATAAATCAAATTTCACTAAGTTAGTGCCCCATTGTTTTTGTTGTTTTTTTACAATGCCTAGAATATTTGGAATTGGCAAAATAGTTTTCTGCATACCAATTTAGGTTGACTGTATCTAAATTAATGTATTGTGGCTATTGTTTTTAAAGAATGCCATTAGTAACTGCGGACATTATTTATTCATAGGCCCCAAAGTCAGAATGCAACCTATTCCTGTCATTTAAAGAAGAAAAAATTTGTTGCTATACATCTGTGTTTAATTTTTTGTTTGTAGAGTAAAATTCTGTGTGATTATTTTTTATAATTGTTGTCTAAAACCCTAACTGTCATGTTCTCTGTATTGTTTATATTTTATTCTTACATCAGAGATCTATAAAGGACCATCATTGTTAGGCTAAATATAAATGGAGTGTTACATAGTTAAAGGAAAATATATGTTCCGAGCGCAATGGCTAAAAGCCATGGATCGATCTGAGTGGAAGGATGTGGTGGAGCAGATCAGGGCCCTTGTTACATAAATCTTGACATTAATTTAAACTTTTTTGTTCATTCCTTTGAAAGTAATCGATTCTCCTCTCTCCAATGCAGCAGTGTCCATTGGAGATTAAAAACTATAGTGATGGTTAAAATTTTATTCAAAACTGAAAAATCAAATTCTAATCAATGAATAATTGCATACGTTATGACACAATATCTATGTATGAAAAGATATTATAATTTTTTATCACTAGACTTTGTTTTAAGGATGTTAAAATAGATGGAAACCCTCAAATTCAGGAGCCGATTGTTGCATTGTATTCAATTTTGAATTTATCCTATCTCTTTCTACATTGAATTTATTCATCTACTATGTTTAGTGGTATTTTGTCTTTAGTTTGCAGGAGAAAGATTTAATTTACTGTCTTTGTTTCACATTGATGAAGTCTTCTTCATAATAGATCAAACATAACATTATACAATAGGTGTCTTAACATATTTTGCACAAGAAGAAAAGATCAACTCTCAAAATTTGTTTGAAACTTAGGACATAACTAAAAAAAACGTAGCATTGTCTTATATAGCCTATATATTTATATATTTTAAAAAGTTTTCTTTATCTTCTCCCTTATTTAAAAGTTAAAATAAAATAAAATGTTGGCAATTATTTTACTATTATTAATGAACGCACAAAGGAAAAAGAATTCATCAATTTTTTTGCTATTGCTACTTTCAGAATTCTCCTTAAAAAAAAAACTCATGCTTGTATTTCTTCTTTGCAGTGATTTCCAAACACTTCATTTAAAGTTGTTTAACAATTTTGTATCAATTTTTACACTGGAGTTGCCATTCAATTGAATTAAGTCTGTCCATTTTCTGTTCTTACTTGAACTGTAGAATGCATAACAGCTTTGTATGGCTCATTGTTCGCTCTTTTAAAAAATCTGGAATAATTTAAGTTATTTTGTTAAAACAAAGCTTGTATACCACATTAAACCATTGCCAAGAGTTTGGGAATCACTGTCCAATCAATTTAAATTAAAACACAACTTGAATCAATAAATGTCCCAAAATGACAATGATTTCTATATATTTTTCCATCTGCTTTATTTGAATGTCTTTTGCTCACCATCCTTTGAGCATACACACCCACTCCACACCCCCTTTTCAAAGCATATGTATGTTGTGTCTAGGTGAGCTTTTCACTGTTTAGTTATCAAGTGATGTGACGCTTTTTGGTTTGATTGGGGTTCTCATGGCTTGGTGAATGGACCTCTTCATCCCATCATGTCATTGTAACCGTTGTTGCATGGCTGTCTTCACCAAACTTTCTCCACACATGCCAACAAGGAAGCAGGTAAATTCAGTGGCTTTTTTTTTCCTTCTTATTTAGTTAGGCTCTGTAACCATGGTTGATATTTGTAATTATTATGTGAAATCACATTGTCCTAAAGAAAAGTTTTCCTCTCCAGGTCAGTAACAGGTAATTTTTACTAAATAAACTTATGAGATGAATTGTATTTTCTTTATGAATAAATTAACATTAAAATGTATATATTTAATTTTTCTCCGCATCTTTCTTAAAAGAGTCACTTAGTTTATCCTTTTTTTCCCATTGTATTTGACTACCACATAAAAATCCCACTGCATAAGATCACGGAACACATTCGTCCTGAATTTACTATTACTTACCAAAGCTGCGGAAGGAAGTTCTAGTTATGATGAAATCCATCTTTGTCCCAGATTAGAATAGAACTATGTGCAGTAGTAGAGATACACTTTATTGTCTTCAACACTTTTGGCTTGTCTTATCTACCATTTTCTTACCACAAACAGTTGTGTGTTTCAGATAAAATGTTCAACAATTAGTGTATTTTGTTGTTTTGTGTATGTATGTGTGTGATTTAAATTTTGTTTTATAAAAGATTGCAACTGTAGTGATAGTGGGGTTATAAACTCATTGAAACATAAGGGTTGTATTTAGTTTTTGAGGCCTGAATATCCAGAAATGACCAAAACTAGACCAGTTAGACATATAAAATGAATGATGCACGCCCAAATGGAATTTGTTTGATTTGATAGTCAATAGTTTAAGTGTCTGAAAGTTGGATGGCATGGTGCCAGGATGATTGAGATTTCAATTTTCACCTTTTTTTTATGTGAGAACATAAAAAAATCATAGAAGGCCTGCATCTTAGTAACTGTACAGCCTGATTTAAAATGTAAATACCTTTTTTTTTATCCAAGCCCTTGTTTTTAAAAAAAAAAAAAACTAAAAGACAAAAGAGTTATATACACACACACTAACCCTATATATTTATATTTTATATATAAATATAGTAAACTTAAAGGGACAATTTGTTTGTTCATATTTTGGGCATGCATTATTTGTATTACTGTGTCAGCTTATGGCTAGAACTGTTGACTTGTTCTAACTTGGAAATTTTGGTATTATGGTGTGGTATTTTACAATTTGATTTCTTGGTATGACTTATCTTTGATTCAAGCTTGACATTCCTGTAATGTTTTTGCTTTGTTAATGGTTATTTTCTGTCTCCCCCGGGCCCTGCTAGTAGCTAGGGTTTAAATCTTTTTTGTTTTCATACTAATACTCTGGTCCTCTCTCCTTCTTTTTTTTTTAATGCTTCTTTTGGACTGGCCTGGGCACTGCAGATACCCTACAGGATAGACATAAATATGAGGAAGAACCAATGGAAGGAAAGAAAATGGAAGAAGAAAGAGAAGCCGTGAAGGAACAGCTAGCTTCAGCTCAGATTGTTGAATCAGTTGAGTTTAAATCTCAGTTATTTACTGCTGATGTCCACGAAGAGATTGAGGAGCAAACCTCATATGTGGAGGAGACATTTGTCATTGAAAACCTTGAGACCCGACAAGCTGCTGTTGTCAGAGAAGAAGTAGAATCCTATGAAATTCCCAAACAAGATGAAGAAATTTTGTCAGATGCCAGAGAAAGTGTTGAGGCTGTTGAAGAAGTTCACTCTGACAGGGCCACAGAGATTGGGGAGGGGGTGGAAGTGGTGGAAGTCATTACAAAGGTAGATGAGTACATTGAGGAAGATGAAGAAAAAGTTGAAACACTTAGTCCTGTTTCAATTCAGGATGTTACTGTTGTGGAGGAGGCATTTGTTTCCCAAACAGTGGAGGAACAAGATTTACAAGTTGTTGAAACTCAGTTCACAAGTCAAGTGGACACTGTCCATGTAGCCACGGAAGAAGCCGATCAAAAGCCGACAAAACCAACAGATTTGGATTACCTTGAGAAGCCTCTAGATAGAGAAGAAGATGATGTGGACAAGACGCCTGTAGTGACAGAGAGCAGAGAAGATGAGTCACCATTGACTGGCTTAAAGTATGTCGCACTCACAGATCCTGCTACCAAAGAGCTGGTGCGAGAACGTATTGAAACCATTGAAGAAGTTGTTGCTAAAATGGAGAGGAGCTATGAGCTGAAAACGTCAGAGAGCCTAGTCTGCTCCCACAGTGAGCTCAAAGGGGAGGAGGTCAAAGAGACATCTCAAGAGTTGATAAGGGATGAGATGAGAAGCGAGTTGACAGAGGATGCAAGTGAAACAACGCAAGACTTTTCAGACATCAAGAGTGAAATGATAGAATCTTTGGACAGTCAGCATGACTTTGAGATATATAAGGAGGCAGACACTGAAGCAGTGCAAGCAAACATTCAATACGACCATCAGCCACGGGAAGACAACCAAGTGGAGGAGAGTGAAGATATCACACCAGCTTATGAAGAAAAAGAAGTTGAGCTTGAGAGTGATGAAGATAAATCTGACATTGGGGATTTCATGGACTCTGTAGAGACCCAGGATATTGAAGAAACTGAAAACATTGAGAAAGAAGTAGAGACGGAGCAACAAGATGATGAATTTTTTGCTTCTGAATCGGTGTTTACAGACACCATTGAAAAGGATACCAAAGATGATGTCTCAGGTACCATAGTACATCATGAATTGAAAGAAGAAAGAAGTGAAATCAGTACACAGTTTGAAGTTTCAGAAAATATCTTGGCTGACACAGCTAGAATCATCAGCAAAGAAATTGAAGGAGAAGAGGAGAGTAGTGAAGCTGACATAAGTGAGGACAAAGAGAATATTGAACCCGTAGCTGCTGTTGATATGGATGAAAGGAAAGAGGATGAGTTTGTTCAAGAGGAGGAGATTAGTAGGGGGAAAACTGAAGAGCGGGGTTTGGAAGACGAGTTGGAGAGTGTAGCAGCCACAGCTGGCAGTGACGTCGGCGGTATGGATGAGGTGGAACAGGAGTCAACATCTGATACAAAGGAGAATGAGGTTTCAGAAACACAGGAACACTATGAAAATGAGTTATTGAGAGAATCACATGAAGAAGTTAGCTATCATCTTACTGAAGAATACAAGACCAGTCAGCATACCTTCTCAGAGGTGTCACAGCTACGCACTGAAACTGAAGGCCTAATAGGTCAAACAGCAGGCCAAGGCTCTGAGGAATTTGACATGCAGAGATCCTATATTGAAGAGTATCTGGAGAGTCCTGTACCCTGTGATGAGGAAATTGTAGTTAAAGATAAAACTCAAGCTGTGGCTGCTGCCGTCATAAGTGTTCCTGATGAGGAGGAGGATGAAATAAAGGAGACTGTTGTGGCAACTAAAGCACGGGCTGTGCATGCTGATATTACCACTCAGCGTGATGATGAAGCTGATGAAATCCAAGAGGAAAGAGATATCATGGGTGAAGTTAGGGAAGAAATAGTACTGTCGTCTACAGAGTCAGTCTCTCACACCTTGACCCAGTTCGTTTGTGATGAGCATGAATCCTTCATCAGCGAAGTCTCCACCAAAGAAACTGTGAGCCACTACAAACCAGATCAGCTGGATGGCCTTACAGTGTCACTAGATACAGAAACTGGCATATCCACTCTACCAGATGAGGAAGAGGATGCTGAGATAAAGGATGTTACCAAAGAGGAGTTCCTCCAGTCCTATTCTGATGACAGGCAGTATGATGAAACAGATCTTACCACTCACATAGAACAACAAGATGGAGCAGCATCTGAAGTCCCCATGGATTACACAGGGGATACAGCAGACTTTGAAGCGCCAGATGTCACTGAAGAAGAGCTCGCAGAATTCGAGGAAACAGAAAAGGCAATTGAAAAGGAAATGGAAGAATCACAGGAAGACAAAGTCTACACCTACCCAGAAATAACCTACACTGTGGCTGAGGATATACGCTATGACCAGAATGATGAAGAGCCTGGAGCCAGTGACCACAGTGCAGAAATGCCCCAAGAAGCAGAGAAATGTGTCCTTGATGAGACTGAGCCAACTCTTACTCAAGATTCCTCTTACAGAACTGAAGAACATGTTATCAAATCTGAGGAGTATGAATACGAAGAAAAGTCTGCTACCAAGAAAGAAGAAACAGACTCTGAATATAAACATGTTGAGACACAGGAAACGTCTGAACAAACAGGTGAGACCAAAGTTAAATACATGGAAGACAAATACATGGAAGACAAATACGAAGAATACAGGTTAGATCAACAGGAAGATGTAACTTACAAGTCTGGTGGCCTCGATCAAAGGAATGAAGAATATAAAGCAAATGAGTGGGAACTTCTAGACAGAGATGAGTTGACACTGGATCAGATCACCCAGACTGCAATGCTGTCACTCTCACACAGTGAACAGCAAAAGTATAGAGACCCCTATGATACTACAGCGCAATATGTACAAGATGAAACAGCACAAGAACAAAAGGATAAAGGAGATTTGAAATGTGTTCAGGAGCAAGAAGAGGAGACTGAAGAATTGGTTCAGGAACAAGAGGGGGAAAGAGAGAAACAATGGGAGCAGGAAGATGAACATGAGGAAATAGATGAACAAGAAGAAGAGAGTGATGAACAAGAGGAGAAATATGAGTTTGTGGATAAAGAAAGGCTGAGACAGGAACAAGAAGAAGAAGATGGGTTGGTTTTGGAACAAGATGAAGAACAGGATAAAGAGGGAGAGAAATATATTCAAGAGCAAGGGCAGAGGGAGGCAGAGTTTTATGAGAGAGAAGTTGGACAAGGTGAAGTGAAAGAGCAGGGTGAGGAATTCATTCGGAAACAAGATAATAGAGATAAATTAAAGGAACAAAGAGATGGAGGGAAAGATCAAAAGGAATGTTATCATGAGCACGAAAGAAGTGAGGAACTTGTTCAGGAACATGAAGATGTAGAGAAATATGTTCAGGAACAAGAAGGTTTAGAGAAATATGTTCAGGAACAAGAAGATGTAGAGAAATATGTTCAGGAACAAGAAGATGTAGAGAAATATGTTCAGGAACAAGAAGATGTAGAGAAATATGTTCAGGAACAAGAAGATGTAGAGAAATATGTTCAGGAACAAGAAGATGTAGAGGAATATGTTCAGGAACAAGAAGATGTAGAGAAATATGTTCAGGAACAAGAAGATGTAGAGAAATATGTTCAGGAACAAGAAAATGTAGAGGAATATGTTCAGGAACAAGAAGATGTAGAGAAATATGTTCAGGAACAAGAAAATGTAGAGGAATATGTTCAGGAACAAGAAGATGTAGAGAAATATGTTCAGGAACAAGAAGAAAGTGAGGAGTTTGTTCAGGAACAAGAAGATGTAGAGGAATATGTTCAAGAACAAGAAGAAAGTGAGGACTTTGTTATGAAACAAGAAGGTCTAGAGGAATATGTTCAGGAACAAGAAGAAAGTGAGGAATTTATTCAGGAACAAGAAGATTTAGAGGAATATGTTCAGGAACAAGAAGAAAGGGAGGAATTTGTTAAGAAGCAAGAAGATCTAGAAGAACATTTTCAGGAACAAGAAGGTGTAGAGGAATATGTTCAGGAAAAAGAAGAAAATGAGGAATTTGTTCAGGAACAAGAAGAAAGGGAAGAATTTGTTCAGGATCAAGAAGATGTAGAGGAATATGTTCAGGAACAAGAAGAAAAGGAGGAATTTGTTAAGAAGCAAGAAGATCTAGAAGAACATTTTCAGGAACAAGAAGGTGTAGAGGAATATGTTCAGGAAAAAGAAGAAAATGAGGAATTTGTTCAGGAACAAGAAGAAAGGGAAGAATTTGTTCAGGATCAAGAAGATGTAGAGGAATATGTTCAGGAACAAGAAGAAAAGGAGGAATTTGTTAAGAAGCAAGAAGATCTAGAGAAACATTTTCAGGAACAAGACGGTGTAGAGGAATATGTTCACGAAAAAGAAGAAAATGAGGAATTTGTTCAGGAACAAGATGTAGAGGATTATGTTCAGGAAAAAGAAGAAAGGGAGAAATTTGTTCAGGAACAAGAATATGTAGAGGAATATGTTCAGGAACAAGAAGATAGTGAGGAGTCTGTTCATGAACCAGAAGCTAAAGAGGAATATGTTCAGGAACAAGCAGATAGTGAGGAACAAGAAGGTGTTGAGGAATATGTTCAGGAAAAAGAAGAAAGAGAGGAATATGTTCATGAAAAAAAAGAAATTGGGGAATTTGTTCTGGAACAAGAATTTGGAGAGGAATTAGTTCAGGAAAAAGATGATAGAGGGGAATATGTTCATGGACAAGAAGATAGAGAGGAGTATGTTCAGGGACAAGACGATACAGAGGAATTTGTTCAGGATCAAGAAGATACAGAGGAATTTGTTCAGGAGCAAGAAGATAGAGAGGAATATGTTCACAGAGAAGAGGAGGAAAAAGAGATACAATCAGAGCAGAGGTGTGCAAATGAGGAAATAGATCAATCAGCGGATGAATATGAACTTGTTCAAAAGCATGAAGAATTTACAGAGAAATTGGCTCAGGAACAAGAAAAGCAAGAAGCATGTGTGCAGGAAAATGACAAAAAAGCTGAGACTTTTCAAGAAACGGAAGAATCAAGTGTATTTGATCAAGAGTCAGACTCAAAAAGGTTTACCCTTGATCTTGTGAGTAGTGAAAAAATATCACATATTGAAACTGTTAGTGTCTCAGATGAAGAAGCAGAGTATAAGAACAAGAAAGTAGACAAAGATATTGTCCAGCTGGCTAAAGATGAAATGGAAGGCACAGCCGTAGAAGTGAAAGTGCACAGATTTTCAGAGAAAGAAGAGGTCCGGGACGAGAGTACTACAGACATGTACCATACTGAGGAGTACAGCCTGAAATCAGAAACCATCATGCCAAGTGAGAAAATAGAACCCATAGAGGATGTGTTTGAGATACACTCACAGTCTTATCAGCTGGTGGAGACACTGCTGGGATCTGTTGAAATTGAAGAAAGGGATGAAGGTGAAATGATACATGAGGTTAAGACATTTGTTGGTCTTGATCAAGAGCCTGAACATTTTGTAGAAGCAGTACCAGTCTCGATAGAGAAGACAACTGAAGTAGTTGGAGGTGTTGCTGCAGAGGATGAGCTCTCACCTCTCATGTCCCAGGCATCTGACCTTTCGCCTCTTTCACCCATGCAAGAAGACACAGCAGTACCTCAAGAAATAGAGACAGTTTCCCATGCTGTAACTGTTTCTGAAACTGATTATCAAGTTACCACAATTGTAACCAAGTCGATCATCCAACAAGCACAAGTTGAAGTGTTAGAAGATGAAAATATGCAAAAGTCTTGGGAAAAAGAAGAAAGAACACCTTCAGATAAAGACTTGGCCATACCCCTCACAAAAGGAGAGGAATCTGAATCAGTTTCAGAAAAAGCAATAGGATCTTCTCCAGAAGAGCAAGATGAACTAGAAGAAGATTTGGAACAAGACCAGGAACCTGAAATTGAGATTAAGAAAGAAGTTGAACAAGAAATAGACCAAGAAGAGGACCAAGAAGATGAAAAGGAATTAGACCAAGAAGAGGACCAAGAAGTAGAAAGAAAATTAGAACAAGATGAAGACCATGAAGTTGAAAAAGAATTAGAGCAAGAAGAGGACCATCAATTTGAAAAGGAATTAGACCAAGAAGAAGACCATGAATTTGAAAAGGAATCAGACCAAGAAGAAGACCATGAATTTGAAAAGGAATTAGACCAAGAAGAGGACCAAGAAGCTGAAAAGGAATTAGACAAAGAACAGGACCAAGAAGTTGAAAAAGAATTAGACCAAGAAGAGGACCAGGAATTAGACAAAGAAGAAAAACATGAATTTGAAAAGGAATTAGACCAAGAAGAAGACCATGAATTTGAAAAGGAATTAGACCAAGAAGAGGACCAAGAAGCTGAAAAGGAATTAGACCAAAAAGAGGACCAAGAAGCCAAAAAGGAATTAGACCAAGAAGAAGACCATGAAACTGAAAAGGTATTAGACAAAGAAGTTGAAAAAGAATTAGACCAAGAAGATGAAAAGGAATTAGACCAAGCAGAGGACCAAGAAGTAGAAAGAAAATTTAAAAAAGATGAAGTCCATGAAGTTGAAAAAGAATTAGACCAAAAAGAGGACCATCAATTTGAAAAGGAATTAGACCAAGAAGAGGACCATCAACTTGAAAAGGAATTAGACCATGAAGCTGAAAAGGAATTAGACAAAGAAGAAGAACATGAAGTAGAAAGAGAATTGGAACAAGATGAGGACCAAGAAGTGGAAAAAGAAATCGAGCAAACAGAGAAAGAAGTCAATGAGGAACTTGATCAAGAAATAGAGGAGCAAGACCAACTAACGGCAGCCCTTATGTCACAGTCATATAAAGAAGATGAAGATGAGGCTGATGATTATGATGATGAACAAGATGGTCTTTCACAGAACATCGCTGAGGACTCTACAGAACTATTACTGACTCGACAGATGGCCACAGAAGCTTCACTGGAGCAAATAACGGAAAGATCAACAGAGAGTGAGATGACCAGGAGTCAAGAAATGTATGATTCAGTGAGTGAAGAGAAGCAGGATACAGCCTATGAATACAAGATTAATGTCACTGATGTAGAAGATGGTGACCAAATGCAATTGGATACCCAGGAAATCGATAGCAAAGAAACACCATCTACTGAGGAAGGAGAGTATTCTATGAGAACCACACCTTCATTGAAAGAAGTCAAAGAAGAAGAATATGAGGAGAAGTCACATGAAGATGAATTGGAAGATTTTGAAATAGCATTTGAAAAGTATGAAAATGAACCTGAGGTTGTGGTTCCCATCGATGCTAAAATTGGTGAACATGTTGAAGTTTATCAAGAAGATATTGACAAGGCTTTTAAAATCTATGAAAGTGAACCAGAAGTTTCAGTTCCGATCGATGCCAAAATGTCAGAAGACAGTGAGATAGAGAGGGATGTGGTTGATTGGGTTGAAGATGAGATGAGGGAAGAAGACAAATTTTCAGGTTTTGTAGAAGAACAAATTTTGGAAATTTCTGAACAAACCCATCAAACGGAGGAGAAGAGCAGAAAAGCAGAAGAACCTTTTCGGGAAGATTACACAAGACAATATTTGGTGAAGGAAACCACTGAAGAATATGAGCATTATACAGAAACATCGCTGCATCGTCAAGCTCACAAAGAAAGTTATTTTAGTGCAGACTTCATGGCAAAAACAGAAATTCCTGAGACAGAAACCTGTGATAATGATACAAGAGACGATAAGGACATCAAACATGTTGAGGACTATGAAATGGAACTCAGCAAAGCCATTGTACAGGAGGCCCTTCATACGAGCATAGAGACATCCAGGAAACTGGAAACATATGATGGACCTGATGTTGGCTCTCAGGATACTCCAGCCCCAAGTGTTTGGCTTGATGAACAGTCTATGAGAGCTCAGGATGAAGATGAGGAAGATGACAGGGAGAAGAGACAAACTGGTGGCATTATGGAAGAAATGCAGGCGCTAGAAGATCAACAGACACAAGATGAAATCATGTCTGAAGATGACCTTGATGATGAACAGTATGAGGATGAGCTGAAGGAGAAAGACTTTTATGGGGAAAAGGTAAGAGATGAAACTGAAGACAGACATGAGATGCTGTCAACATCAGGACTTAAAACTGATTTTGCAGATCATGAACCCAAAGCAGAACCGGAAACAGATGATATTATTGCTGAACGTATGGAGCAATCTATTGATAGACTGGAGACAAAAATGGAAATGGAAGCTGCTGATGTTGAAATAGCACAAAAAATGTGCATCTCTACTGACAGTTTAGAAGAAAAAGAGGATGACTTGTACGATACAAGAGAAATGGAGCATTCCATTGACAGAGTAGAAGCTTTCACTGTTGAAGAAAGGGATGAACGTTCAGAGAGCACATCGGTTGAGACTGTACTAGAAAAGACAGAAACGGATGAAAGACAGATTGAGAAAAAAAGTGAAGTCATCATTGAAGAAAGAAGTCATCTGATATCAACTAGGGATGCAGAAAAATTGATTGAAGAAGGTATTGATACTGAGGACTTGGGAGGAGCTTTCGAGGGTCTGGAAAATTTCATTGACAGAACAGAGCATTTCATGGAATTGCTATCAGATGTCATTGTCCCTGAA